TTGCAAATTCAAGCGACCATAGGCCATGGAGGCGAACATAAGTACAGTTAGATGTGTATTTGTAAGCGTGAATACATACGTACGTACATATTGAATCTATTGGAGTGTTCAGCTGTATTGGGAAATTGGAAAACTGGATTGAACATAGCAGGATGGGTATTGAATGAAAAATAACTTTCTTAATTTTTCACATGTGTACCAATGTAATATTGAATTAGAGAATTTTTCGCAGTGTATGCAAAGTTTTTTATTCCAATTGAATAAACAATATTTTTGAGTTTTAATGGAAATGAAAGTAATTTTTTATCATTAAGTACAAATATCAAATTTATTAGTTTCATAATATGTATGAAATTTAGTTTACTTTTATTTGTAAAACAACAGGGTTTAAGCAAGACTTCGTCGAATCGTCGATCAAATTATTACTAACTAACGTGTGTAAAATATGGTCAGTACTCTAGGGTTTGATTTTTAGAAGATTATTTATTTATCGCTTCTTTTTTAATTTTCTTTTAATTTATAGATTTCCTTTTAAAAATAAAAATAATTTTTTTTGTAATTTTTTTTTTTTAATTTAATTTTTTTTCCAGTTAATTTTTTTGACTTTATTGTTTTAAAACGAAAAAAATATATACATATGTTACCGGCCAAAACCGATCTTATGACAAACCTAGCTGGAGTTGGACTGATGAGGGTTGTTTTGAAGCGCGGCTGGCATTTTTATAATGTCATCACTTAAATTTATTTTTGCGTTCTTTTCATTTTATATATTTTATTTTACTTTTTTTTAATTTTCTTTTATTTATTACCTATTATTATTTTAAAAAGAAAAACATGTGTATGTATTTTTTTATTTATTTTAATTTATAAAGAAAGTTATTGCGAACACTAAGACCTCTTCGTTACCAGGTCTTTCAATTAGTCTTTCGAAAGGCCGTAAAGAGCTTTCAAGATAGTTTCCAAAATTTCCAATTGTCTTACGAAAGACTTTTGTCTTCTTGATACACCCGCACACGGTGATGTGGCGCAGCGACGCCTTTGATACATGAACTGGTTTCTTTGTGTCTTACTGCTGCAATAATGGCCGTCCGAAGTAATTTAATTAAGCGGAGGTAGACGCAAGATCGTGTTTAGGGTCCATCTTTCATTTAGCCATCTGAAAAGTAAAATTCGTGTCGCATAAACATAGGGCCAAAGCAGACCAGACATAGGGGTTGCTAAATATTTCGACTGCAGCGCCTTCAATTGAGTCCGTTCTATGCAGAACCATTTGGAAACTTATTTTTCATACTTAATTAAGGTAGCATAAATTTTGAACTTGAACAACATCGGTGTATAAAGACGACTTTTATGATTAATTCGACAGCAGCGACACCTAACGAATTTTCTAGTAGCCTGTAATAGGACCACATATGTAAGGTATAACGACCGAAACTTTTACGAAATCATCAATAATACTATATAGATAGTCAATTATATAACCAAAGGCATATACATAATCCAAGTTTCAAACTTTGTAGAAAAATGAAAAAAAAAAATCAATAAAGTTTCATAAAAACTAATATCCGAATTGAAATTCGGCTCTATACAAAATAACAAACGCGAAACATCTACTTCGTAGCTTGTAGGCATTTGCTTGAAATGTGCAAGTAATTAATTTACATTAGGTTCGTTTCTTAAGTCTTTTGTTTAGTCATAACAGTAAAACTTATTTGCCGATTCCATAAGAGAGTGAGATGGAGAGGATAGAAAAGGGAATGCGAGAGAGAGTTTTATGAGTTTTGGGGCCGTCGCGATGCTGCGTCAGGATGGTTAAGGCAACAATTAACTCAAATATTTGAAATACCTGTGAATGAAAAAGAAGAAGAACTAATGCAACTTTTTTTTTTAATTTACCACAAAATTTAGTTTAACTCTGCAGTCCTCAAGGGCATATTACCTATTTTGCTAAAAAGCATTAACAAATATATTTATTCTTAACAAGTTTAACAGACCATCGGTGGTATGCAGAGGCCATTTTATGCCACGGGTCCACTTCTTAAACTTTTTTTGTTTTGAGGATACTTCAAGGACAGTACTGCATATGACTGCATTTCGTAAGTAGTCGTTATCATCACTAGAAGGAGAAAGTTAGAGTTCGGAGTTAAGAAGCTCTGATTTAGATTTCTTCCGGAAAGTATTTAGAACAAATTTTGGATGCTAAGCTCAACAAAAGTCTCACGTTAATCTCAAGACCTCGAAAGCCTTGGGCCAGGATAATGCGATTATTTGAATTTAACTTAGAATGTAAGGTGGTACTGGCTTCATTCCAACACATTTAATATGTGTGAGCCTCACTTTTCTTTGGAGAAATATGCTTCGGCACTTCAAGCTGAAAAGTTTGGAAACGCATTTAAATAGTCTTTGACCAGGCATCTTAAAATTTTTAAAGATGTTTTGGCATTCATGTTTAGATTTAATTATGCTGGTTGAGCTTATTTTACTCTGGATAACAGATCACACAGATTTGCCTGTTAGAAAGGCATCTAACCACTTGGCTTGTTTAGGGCTATTTTGCATTCAGCACTGACGTATTTGCAAGTTTCCGTCTATTCCAGCGAATTTTCATTACTTATACGTACATTTATCTCACACATTTATACATTTGACAAAGTAAATTTAACCCGTAGACTGAATAATGCCGTAATGTATGCCTCGAAAAGCATTCAAAGATACCTGCGGCAGCAAAACAAATTTTTAGAAGAAATGGAAAACGATTATCACGCGAATTTGATGCTTTATTTCGAAACAAGAAGTGGAATTATAAATCAAGAATGGGCGAATGGAAACCACTTTTTAAAATCACATTAAAGTTATCATTTAGTAATTCCCTAAAATGGAAACTTTGAATAAACTAATAATACCACGGGTATTTTTGAGTGACTAACTTTGTCATTAAATTTTTGTCATTTATCATATTCCTTACTCATATGCTGACATCCTCGTAGTAGTCGATGAATGGCTGGTTGATATTACGGTGCCTCTTGTCAACGGTTGGACTATTCGTGAGACGCTATTACACTTTACTCTACAATACTTGTTAGTCGACTCTGCAATACCTCTGAGTGCATTTCCCATAAGAGAAATTATCTGCTGTGCGGAGAGAGGCATGGAATTGTACGTCCGTCCCTTCATTTGTGTAATTACATCCGACAAATATTTTGCAAATTGGTATTTATGAAATGACGCTTCTCCCATTTTTCAAATAAAAACGGTATTTCATATTTGTTTTTTTTTTGACAGTATGTATTGGTACTTGTACATGGTACTTGTATACCGTCCTTCTTCTAAAGTTGTTATCGTTTGAAAATTGCCGATATTCTGACCTGATCCTCACAGCTGTTGTCTTTTTCATTGCTTCGAATTTCAATAGTTCTGCATTTTTGGTATTGAGGCATTTATGGACCATTCCATTGTGACTGGTGGGAGATTTTATTCCAAAATGTGATAAATTGTGAATTATAACTATGTTGTCGGAATTTATACAACAGCAAAAGATATTTTTTACCATAGAACTATAACTAATGTATAAAATTGCTTTAACAAAAATACTAAACGGCCTTTTAGTTTTATGGAACTATCATTTGAATGAACGTAACTGGTGATACACTGAAAAAAAAACTCTATTTTATCCTTGTGCACTCAAAGATGAATTTTAGCCAAAACACTTAATCTTAACGAACGATGTTTTTGCGTTGTAAAATATGAATTATATGATTTTTTTTTCACAATAAAAATTAGGTTTATATAATCTTAATAGAAATATAAAAAAAATATTTAAATTTGTGACTGGTGGGACATCTCCTTGTGACTGGTGTAAAGCAATTATTCATAGAATAAAAGTTTCCATTCAAAAAAATTACATTTTCTTTTTATTTTTTTTTAATATTTTTCAACAGATAAATGAAATTTGGTCATTTAAAAAGAGGTTACTACTGAAATAGACATAATACCCTTTACCTTTACCCTTTAAATTTATATCGTTTTCCGCTTGTACATGAAATTATCCTATTTAATATAATTTTTTCATGTATATGTATATGTAAAATCCAGTTCAATAGTTCAATATAAAAGTTCAAACACTCACCTCTTCATTTCGAATTATTTAAATACTTTAAACAGCTGTTGGCCTCTTTTTTATGCACTCATTCGTATAATATTGAAAAGAAATGTTCAGCAACAAAAAAGACAATACTGCACAGCAGGATAAAATTGAATCAAATTAATTGGCTTAACGAAAAGTTAATTAACAATTAACACTTTGACTTGCAGATCATTCGATGACTTTGCAGAGGTGCAAATAGTACATAATTAGAAATTAAAGAAGTTTGATATTTTTTTCTCTTTTCTTAGCTGTTACGAGGGATCACTTTGATCTGAAGTACATACATATGTATGTATATATTTTTTGAGTTTTTTTTAAATTTATTTGCAATCTTTGATTTATTAGTTTTGTTTTTATTGTTACCGTTCACATTTTTTTCCATTGCTAGTTGACCTAAGCGTATTCCTTTGTACTAAATAAAATACTCAAAGCTTTACACAGAAGTCACACTAGAGATGTACGTTTTTTTTTCGTAACTTTCCTCAGCCGTTTCAATGCATTTCGAATTCCGTTTATTTAAAACAAAAATACTTACATATTTACATACATCATACATGCTAATACATACTTACTATACATGAAAGCCATTTAACTTTTTCAACTTACCGCTATAGTTCAGTTGAGTTCAATTCAGGTGAGATTCATGTGAAAGCATTCAGTTGCATATAGACATATATGTATGTATCTACATTTGTATATTTCATATTTACTTATATATGTATATTTGTGTAAGCGTATGTATATTTGTTTTGCTCATAATTTATAGTGTGCAAACATTAACATTAAAAAATAATTATTATAATTTTCATACACAATTTTTTAACTTTTCTTCATTTTTTTCTCGTTCATACAGATACTGCCGTCCATATACACCACAAACACAAACACACACACACACACCCATACACGTGCCGCTAACGTAACGCATATGGATCGCAACATTTTGTACTAAACTAAAAAGTTTACGTGCGCGCGCACAAACCGCTCTCTACGACCTTCCACTCTACTTGTATGCTCATAGTCTTACACGATTGTGCTTGCACCGGTGTGTGTGCGTTAATAGCAATTACATACGTATTCGTACATTTCCATAAGCAAATATATACTTACGTACAAACATAAATTCCTACAAGAAAACGCCGAAATAGTCGAAGTTGTAATACCGCTAATCAAAAACGAAAAAAAAACAACAGTAAATAGTGAAAAAATCATTTTACTAACCTTAATACAACAAAACAAAAAAAAAGATTATCAAATAAACAAAATACAAAAACCTCAACCAACAGAGAAGACACCGATTTGTTGCAGTAGAAAGAAGCAGCAGCAGCAGCAGCAGCAGCAGCAACCGTGGCCGTAGGGGCAGTTTGCGCATCTCGACATGGCGTACACACGACGACAACCTGCTCGAAACGCTTTAACGGTTAAGCGTGGCTTAGTGGTAAGCAAATTGTGGCATTATGGCTAGCTAGCTAGTAAAACTTTTTTCTTTGTCTAACTACAACAAAAACTAACACACACTTTTGTATATGAAGAAAACTTGTACACACACACACACATATACATACATACACGTATATAGTTACCAACATTCGTCCATGCATTTTTATGAAGTTAATTTGAAATGCGGTTATTTTCAATTTATTTTGGAAAGTTTCTTTTCTGGAAACTTAATGGAAGTCATAAAAGAGCAGTCAGACCTTTTCCACTAACTCGTAGTGCTTTTATATTTAACATAAAATTTTCCGTATGCAGGCTAATTTAAGGATATAAAAGCCACTTCATTAATTAGATGTAGTGAGTGCGCGTGGGAAATTTTTTTTAACCTTGAAGACACACAAAAAGAGTTTGTGAGAATAATTTGCTTGCAAGCCAGGGGAAGTAAAAAAGCATACCTCAAAGAAAAATTACATAGGCATTTGATAGATAGAGGTATTAGGTAGATATGTTTACCAGAAGTTTTGAGAGGAGCTGCCACTAACCCACCATAGGGCGCCGTCAGACTTAGCGAAGTTAACATGTGGAAAACAACCAATTTCGGACCCGAGAAGATCATGGCTGTAATAAAAAGAGGCCCCCATAATGGAATCATAGTTGACTTAGAAGTCAACACTGACTACATAACGCCGGTTTAGGAGTTCAATACAATCTATATTGTTTCTAAACCATAGACAAATGGATCGTTGGGCTATCAGGGGCAGAATATGGTATATCCATCTACACTCATAATTAAAAGATAGAGCTCAGAATTGGCATAGATCTTTATTCGGAGGAATGCAGATCGGTCAATAATTTCATATGCCAAAGTAATGCAGAATCTTCCGACTCAAGATTTGTGCCCCAGTTAGTCTTCTATTGACTATTTTTGTTGATAGTTATAAGGTTTTGAGAGTAAAAGAATACAAAGAGGTGAAAACAAAGATTTTACGGAAATTTCGTGCTGCGTTCGGGTACATATAAAAAAATTTAAGTAAAGTAAAAAAAGTAAAATTTGACGTGGAAAAATTTTGTTGAACATTTTAGTCTATTAGTTCTCTCACGAAACGGTCGTTTTGATACCTTTTTTTTTGGGAAGTCTGAACAAAATGGCATTTGAGAGGGCGCTAAAAGTGTTCAAATGTTCTAGAAAATTATTCGCCGAAAAATTTCACAGTGCGTATTCTCATACAAACCGCCCAGTTCTGTATTTTCTTGATAATTCTGTGTTTCTCAGGTTCAAATACCGGCACATGTGGTACTTAAATAATTGAAAAAAATGTTGGATACACAAAACTTAAAATTTTCTTACGAATTTCAATTTGTAAACGCTTGTCAATAGCATTTTTGTCAATAGCAATAAAATTCCAATTCTTCATAAATTACAAAATTTTTTAATTCATCAAGTGTGCACAGAATCGGGCTGAAAATCTTTATAAAAAGAGCGTAAAAGTCCACAGAGAAAAAAAACAAGTGCAACATGCTACAACTACAATATGCAACAACTTTTTCATGCTTTCTTTTACATTTTGTTTTAATTCCAGTACGCATATCTGCCAATATATACATACATACATAGTTGTGGATTCAATGGATTTATTAAATTTATAGCCCGTTGAAAATATCAATAACCAACAAAATAATCGGTAGAAACGTCAAAAAATATATTTTTTTCAGCATGTTCTGCACTTTTTCTTCCGATCTTTCTCAAGATAAATAAAAAATTTAAACATCATATTACCTCTTAAGCCGCTTTTTGGGCGCTAGGTCCTGGGTATGCGGATTTGTTTGCCTGATTTTTTTTTTGCTGTCACACAGTGTAATAGATGTGCAGATGCATCTCCCTTATTTCACCCATATGAGAATAAACTCGAATCACAAACTACATACATACATATATCGCCCTATTATTTATGATCAATATTGAATACACTAAAAAATAACAGATTCCCTCTCATAAAAGCTTATAACTAATAAAAATTTTAAAGTCGCGTTTGTTCGCATTGAACTTTCGTCGCTGACTTTTTTAATTAAAATTTGCTCCACATAGATACTATTTAATGCGACTAACCCATTTTCTCGAACTCAAGCTCTTTCTGGTTTACTTTCAAAAGCTTTTTTTTATATATATTTTTGCAGACATTTAACCTATTCTGGCTCATTATTTGCTTTAAAATTTATTGTCGATTTTCATTTTCAGATTATTATCGCAACACGTTTGCCCCTTTTATCTTTTGCATCGTAACACATATGTGGCTTTGTGTGCTTTAGCTTCGTGGTTTCATTCAAGTGTTTGCTTTGTTACTTCTTATTATAAACGCGCTTTTAAATTTATCTAAGCGTAGCAAATGGATTTGCGCAAAGTTCACTTGCGTCTGCACGCCTCTTAGCCGTTATTTGCTTTGGCCATTCATTTACCGTGCGACGACGCGTCGAGCAGACCGCCATTGAGCGGTTCGACATCATTTTTTTCCCATTCATGCAAAAGTTCTCAATGCGAAATTCGTTTTGTACTCAGTGTTCGACACGCAGCATTAGCCATTCATGTATTGCTGCGCGCGCACGGAAATCTATGAGAATGCGTGTGTAGACTCATAGTTACTAACTACATACAATACCTGGTTATTCTTTGCATTCCATTGCAGAAATCTTTTCTACTGAAAGAAAATTCGCCAAGGAAAAGAAGCTCGATCTAACATATTGACCTAAAAGATTTTGCTTTAGCGACGCCTTAAAAGCCGGCAGAATTGTTTTTTTTTTGTATGTAGTTACATCGCCAAACACTGATTGTGTTAAACATTAACAAAAAGCTTGGGAACGCTTAAAAAATTGGCGAGTTAGAGTCATAAGTAAATAGTAATTAAATGTAAATAGAAGAAATGTATGTATTTATATGGTCTGCCAATTGAATTTGCCCAAATTTCAGAATGTTGGTAGGTTGCGAATATGTCTAGAACATACATACATATACATATGAATATGTGCACGTGTATATACGCACCTGTAGAGTGCGGTATCATGGAATGCAAGGGATTTGTTTTAGTGAAATTCGATATCAATACCTGCTATACCTTTTGCTGTTGGTCTATATAAGCTTGACATATGAGCATACGAGCGATATTTAATAGATTTTGCATGGCTCTACAAATCCTTCACTTTGCTAACCTTTTATATGCCACGGAAACATGGATGATGGTGAACAAAACTGAAAGGTTTTGGAGCCCTATTTGCGAGAAGAAGATGGAATGACGAATTCTACAAACTGTAAAACGACATTGAAACAGTCAAACGCATACAAATATAGCGATTTCACTGGCTGGATAATGCCTCGGTGAAAAGATCTTTGTTCTCCACAGCCATGGATGGACATCGAACGTGAGGGCCCAGAAAACTCACTGGGAGAACTGGCGTCACTTGGCAAAAGAGACAAAAGAGTTTATTGCAGAGACAAAACTTTGTAGTCCAAATTGAAAAAATAAATCTTTGTAACATGGTCGCCGATTGGATCTTTAGTTTCCATGAATACTGCTAAGCTAATTAGAGTTTCTACGCCAGAGTTTCAACAGCAACCTAGAGGGCGATCCGACCGAAGTCTTATTCAGGATTGCCGTTTTGGGCTTTTCCTACCAAAATTGGTATTATTTTTCTCGTTGGTAGGATGGTAGAACGCTTCAAATTTTGGTAAGTTTCTTTGCTCATAAAACAGAAAACATCTCTGGTTTGTTGTAGTATGCCACTTTGTCAGCACTGTAAGTAGGCTTGCCAAATTGGGACAATAACAGTTGTACCCTCATTCTGTTTTTTGGATGGGTCCAACTGTTTTCCAAATACCAACAGTGTGGTATTGGTCCTCGCGTGATGATTGCCTTAAAATGATTTCAAAGGCAAAACCTAATCAAATAAGGGATTTACTCTCAGTCTGGTGACTGCTCTCACTCTCTGACGACGCATTGGCTTCTCGACAATTACCCGATGCGGAAGTTTAGCTCGTTAACATAGCCGCCGAGATGAAAATGCGCTTCATTACAAAATATGATGTTGTTCAAGTGCAAAGCGATTCCCTTCGTTCCGGGAAGATATTATATTGACTTTCGTTCAAGATTTCCAGTTCGAAAGAGTTGTCACTGTCAAAATAACATATGATAAAAAACACTTTATGGACCACCTGTAAATCGAGGAACTACTTAACCGAGTTTCACTGTACCAATGGTCCTTCAATGATTGCGCGGGTGGAGCACAGCTTTTAGTATGATATAAAAATTTAAATGTGTTGATTGCTAAAATCTTATACAAAATAGTAAGCATATGTAAATCGATGCAACTTTTTTTATTTCTATACACAATTTTATTTCCACTAACTTCCGCGAATTTCACAATTCTCATTTCAAGGAAATATGGCCAGGCGAAATTGTAAAGCAATTGAGTTGTCTGCTAGACAATGCCGCAAACGATTTCAATAATGAGCCAACTACTATTTAGAACGAAAACAACACGCGGCATCGACATCAACATCACCATCACCATCACCATCACCATCGACAACATCAGGCGTAGACAGACATCAACGGCACCAACAAACAACGGTGCGGGTAATCAACAACAAAAATAAGGACAACCAAACGGATATGGCTAGCAGATTGCTGAAATGGACAAATTGCGGTAGCTTGCATGCAGAAAATGCATTAGAAGAGACCTGCTCGAAGGAGGATGGCGCTGATGATGTTGTCGCTTGCAGCTAAGCCAAGCTTGGCTGTTGGGGTGATGTTGGCGCTGCCTGCAAGTGGCATGCGAGCAAAAGTCGTTATAAGTCATTTAGAATGCAGACATGCAAGACAATTTTTTTTTTTTAATTTTTTGCTCAATTTTCCAACGTTTGGCCTTTGCGTATTTGTGTTTCAGGCTGTGGCGGAGTGTGTGCAGCTTTTGTTTTCAATTTGCGTTTTACTTTAGCCAGCAATGCACCTA